TGGCGCCGATCATTCGGACAACTAAACGTTTCAGAGGCAAAGCTCAACCGCGGACTCCGCTGCTAATAATTTACGCGCTTGGGGTGTTATATCTAACTACCACACGGCAGTGGTAAATCATCCGGGTTAGCTAGAAACGTGCCTAGCCCGACCGCACAACAGAGCTTTCGTGTAGAAGCTCAAGCGAATTCAAAGTAAAGTTAGTGATCAATCGCAACGTAATCAAACGTTGCACCTGGTCTAGTTCTGTTAAATGTCTGTCAACACGAACACCTAAACACAGTTGTATTAATTTTAATAGACAATTTTCCTGGGTTAGGATAAAACGCGGATACGGACGGACGGATGGATGGCGGACGGACGGACGGACGGACGAGTGGCGGACGGACGAGTGGCGGACGGACGGACGGACGGATCGCTTCCAAAAAACGTTTTTCAGCCTTTTTTAAGTCATATCCGCGTTTTATCCAAAAGGATAAAACGCGGATATGGTCCAAAAAACGTTTTTCAGTCTTTTTTAAGTCATATCCGCGTTTTATCCAAAAGGATAAAACGCGGATATGGTCCAAAAAACGTTTTCCAGCCTTTTTTAAGTCATATCAAACTTTGCGTTAACAAAAAGTCATATCATATTGCGCGTATCATATTTCCAACTTTTCCCTATACAAATCACCCCAAAATTTGATGTTTTTTCGCTTACGTTTGCTCTACGATTATATTGGTGTTCAGTTACCCTCGGTATAGGAAAGAATGAGTCTTTAGACGCCTTTTGAATGTACTTTTATGGGGAAATAATCCTTAATTCGAATGTCACTTTTCGTTTGATTGTGGGCTGTTTGTTAGAATTTGTATAGGAAATTCGCCTCGCGCGTGGTGTCTGTTGAAGAAAACTGGCACTAGGACCTTCTGCGCAGGTCTTTGACTCCAGTTACCGCCTGATTCGAAGTCTTCGTGAAATTTGGCGCATTTTGATAGCAAATTCATGCTTATTGATGGCGATTTGGGAATGTCAAAATGAGCGCAAAGTGTGGGTTTTGCTTGTGTTTACAAGCTCATTAGTAATTCACTCGCTCGGCTGCAAGAGATGGCGAAGGGACGTCTCAGACTCGATCTCGACTCTACCTTATATACCTTAATATATGACTTATATTGTACACCAGATAAGTGTTGAACAATTGTAATGATTTTACTTTTAATAAAATTAGTTATACTGCCTCATTATAACTGAAGTTTACGCTTGGGAAATGCTGCTTAGTAATATACATTATCTGATTAATACCGTATAGTTACTTGATCTACACTATGGCATCGGAATACAAACGACAAGAGGATCAAAGTTTAATATGATTGGTGCTTGGCCATTATTGTTGTCAATCGTATTCATAAAATGCGTTGTCTTTTCTAGGTTTTTCAGCAGGTTTACTCGATACATCGTGTTCGATTTATAAGTCAAACGGGTTCAGTGCTCGAAGCGTGCGCGCTTAGGTCTCACTCTCTCCGTCATATAATAGTATTAACAATAATAAACTTTATTGAATTTAATGAAGGTATTACAAAACCAGTTTGGCACATCACATCTAATCTTTAATATAATGGGCTTCAACACTGGGCCGTCTGTAATTTCGCAGGACACTAGTTTGAGCAAATTTTCATTCATATAGGGGGAAAGTTTGATATGCCTGGCGCCGATAACACACAGCTGCGGCGTAAAAGAAATCAGTACACGTACAACCATTCTGTATTGTTTTGTATAACAGGTTTTCAAAAGGTTTTCAACTCTTATTTGTTTTGTATTGTAAATGCATTTTGTAAATGATCAAACTTTGGCCGAGCTTTAAGCCTGAATGGGGACCTGTTATACAAAACAATACAGAGTGGAAAACAATACAGAGTTGCCTGCGGAGGAGGCTAGGGCCTTCGCTCGAAACGTCAAAATAGGTTCTGTTTATATTTCTTAGGTATATCTCTCAAGTTCGACTGTTTATAATAAGCCACGCCTATATTTGCCAAAGACCACGCCCATTTGGTCGGTAAAATCGGGATGCTTGAAATCCCACCTGAAAAGGACCAAGCTACGGCAGTGCTACCTTCGATAGCGGCTTAACCCTATCCAGACTGCATGGGGCGTATTTAACCTACAAATTTAAGCAATATAGAATTCAATATTTTGAAATTATGTTCTTCGAGTACGACATATATACAGACTGAACTGGAGACGTCCCCTTTTCCTCGTTAACTTAATACATACTTTTAATCACCAATAAACGTCGATGACAATAACATCAAAAGTTTCACAATATTATTCACAACTATATTAGACTATAGACAATCAAGTGCGTTTTCAAGACAGCCATTTAGAAAAATGAATTCGAAATATTTTTTTCACCCAGAACATCAACAGCCAGACCCAATGTTTTATCAAGCATGCAATAACATTTAATAACATTTAATAACATTAATAACATGTAATAACATTTAATTTTAACAGATGACTTAATTTTAACAGATGACGCAACGAATCAGCTATAGTTTAAATTAAAAACATAAATTGTATCTGATCAGATCGAAAGAATTATAAATATGTTAATTAATATTTACAAATTTTTCTTCTTCAAGCATAATATCAACTATACAATATATACAGTACAATATAATATGTGCAAAGATGTTAAACTTCATTGTGTATACAGTGCTGTTAAAACCATGACATACAGGCACCGCATATTTTTCAGTCTTTGCACCAGAAATGTAGAATTAGAAAAAGCACTTTTTTAGCTAGCTATATATAAAACCGATTAGAGTTGGCAAGCACGCGACGTTTTTATTACATAACCATCCGTGCATGTCGTGCGTGTACAAAATCCTGCCATCATTGCACTAAAGATGGCTTAATCGCCTTAGCATATACTGTAATACTGTATAAATTTCCATGTCTTATATAAGAGAATTTGAGTGCGCGAAGTTTCTCGAATTATGGCTTTAGCAGCTCTTGCTTGACAAAAGACCTATACCATACCTATATATACGGAAGAAACTTTTAGTGCGTACAACAGCAATCTACGCAAGTTTTACGCTAGAATTTCAAACAAGAATGGCTGACGCCATCTAGTGAAAAGTTCGTTGTAGGCTACTGCACAGATTCTGCTCAGTGCTGCATTAACGGTCCTTCCTGATTATACAGGTCAGTCCAGAGCAGTATATACAGAAGGAAACGAAAGTACTGCAGAAAAGCACCCTCTGGAATTTGGTAAAGCCAAATTGTAGAAACGCCCATTAAAAAAGTGTGACTACTCAAAATATTTAGTATATGCGTTCTATGAATGTAATTAAAATTGGGCTGGAGCTATGCCAGCTATACATCCATAATTAGACAACATTCCATGAAGGCAACTTTTGTCCCGCCGCACTTGTTGTTTGTCGTGTCCCATGCAAAAACATTCTGCTGTTTTCATATCATTGAATCATCTGGAAAAGTTATACTTCCAAAACAATAATGTATCAAAAGCGGTCTTAATCCTATTTTTTTTTAAAGCCGGAAAATATCTTTTATTTTCTTACAGCTCTACCTATGAAAACAGCGAGAGGTTTGATGGGACGTTTCTCCTTGCTATACTGAAACTGAACAGAAAAATTTCACAAACCTATTATAGCGAACAAATCTCTTCCTATATTTCGAGAATGCTTTTCTTTGAGTCGGCGGAATGGTAAAACGAATTAATCGTATCTTATATTACATCTTTGTCAGTTATCATAATGCGTGCGGTAATATAGATAGTGCATGAGTTTGCGTTAAAAACTTGATAGGCACCTGTATTGTTAGAAATGTCCCGAGTATATAAAGGAAGTGATCTCGTGCAATTTAGTCCAAGAAGTGTGGAGTTTTTAAAATTCTATAACTACAAGAATTCCAGTATTTCAAGTCGCTCCTATAGTGAGGTGTTTTATGAACGTTCTATCTGTACTGATATGGAGCAATCCCAAGTATCTGAACCTGTTGCGACAATTCTAGGTTTTGTTTTTGCCGTCATCGTGTGCTTCGGTGGGGTCACAAATGCTCTTGTTCTAATAACCCATACAAAATATCACAAAGAGCTGTTAAAAGATTCAAAAGACATTTTAACATTCAGCTTGGCATTTGGTGATTTGGTTATGTCCATTATTGTAACTCCATTAGCTCTCTCCTCCGCAGTAGCACGGAAATGGACAACAGGGAGGAACGGGTGTGTTATTTATGGCCTAATGACAACTTGGATAGGTCTTTCGTCAATTCTTCAGCTTACTTGCATTGCCGTCGAACGTTGCTACACTTTGTCCAGTCTAAACGCCAGTAACACGAGCAGAAAACGAGCAACTCAAATGATCGCTGGTTGCTGGTTAATCAGTTTCCTAGCGAGCTCATTGCCTCTGTTTGGATTCTCACAATTTACCTTGGAAGGATATGGCCTACACTGTTCAATTGTTTGGAAGAATTCGCATGTTTGGTATTGCTTGTTTCTTTTGCTCTTTTTCTATGCCCTGCCAATTACCACAATTGCTATCTCTTACGCCAAGATGTTTTTAATCGTTCGCAGAGTTTATCGAAACGCTGCAGTAACATGGGGTGCCAATGCTCAAGCTACACGGAAAAGTTACACAGCTCAAGTGAAGTTTACCAAACAACTAGTTGTTGTTACATGTGGATTTCTTATTGCTTGGACACCGTACGCTATTATGTCTGGTCTTCGAGTACTAAGCAACATTGAATTTGAAAACGGATGGTACGAGCTGCCTGCATTGTTCGCAAAAACAGCAAATATATACAATCCTATCATTTATTTCCTCATGTATAGACGTCTTCGTCGACATGTCTCTATGTGTTTGGGTGAAGCATGGAAAAAGGTCTTCCAAAGTTGGTAAATTACGTACATACGTCAGAAGACCCGACAAATGTAAATAATCTATATGCACATGAAAAATTAGACTGAATGACGATCGGGATAATTCGATATTCTAGCTGATATATATATATATATATATATATATATATATATATATATATATATATAATATATAACAGTAAATATATTCCGAACAGCGTATAACATGCATCTTGTTATCATATATATATATTAAATTCTACAATTAATATGTTTTTAAAGTAGAGAAAAGAAAAAGCTCAAGTTGTTAGTATAGAAATGATATAAAATATGAGGAATGCTATAGTACAGCACTGGAGAAAACCCCCGAAATCCATACTATATGGATTTTGTAATATATTGCATCACTAAATCCATAGTATATCCATACTATTTCTATAATATATCCATAGTATGATTGCAATTATTATGAACATATATATATTTCCATACTATTTCCAGCAAATTTAGATCCATATACTATTTCCATGCAAAGTAAGGATTTTGAATGACAATTTCCAGTGTAGGGCCAGCCTATACTATAACATTCATGATATAAAAAGGCTTCTTACCGTGCGATTCAACGTACCAAGAAAAATTTAATCATTCTTTGAAGCATATAATTCTGTTTGGAAACAGAAGCTATGAGATTAAATGCATGTTCATAAATATATGGAATTGTAATGTAAGTATACAGTTAGTGCGGTATCTGGTTCCAACCACAAAATGCATTCATGTATATACTCAAAATAGAATAACTGTTTTTCCCTTGAGTCCAAATACATGTGTGAAACTCTTCTTTATCCATTGCTTTGATAATCAGTCAAATCAGTTGGACTGATATATACACGAAATTATACCTACCATACGCACAGGTAAATAGGGAGACATGCATGGATGCGCTTTCCTTAATCAATTTTTTTCCTGCATTGGAACATTTCTCGTGTAAAAAAGTTATTTTCATACGTAAATTCAGATTTTCAGATACGAAATTTGAGTTTCACATATTCTTTCATGCACATATGCAAGTAGAGGACTATAATGAGAGCAGTTCACAGATGAAAACGCGTTTTCACATGTGAAATCATTTGTCAAATTTTCGCAAGGGCATATGCATTCATGGTGCATGAGCATGCAACATGCATGCATGGCCTATAGAGTATAGTAATGTTTTCGCTCGCTACTCTGTTTTTTTATAAATGAATGCAAAGCCCAGTCGAATGGCCCAGTGTCTTCATCAATATGGTCAAAATGTTATCACCCCTGATGAAGATACGAGACTGGAGTCGCGGAACGTTGCCTGGGTCGTGAATGCAATTCGACTGCATGCATGCATGGGGCTTTGCATTCATTTATAAAAACCAGAGTAGCGAGCGACAACATGACTGATATACCAGGTTGCCGCGTGGACTTACAAACTTCAACAGGCCTAGTAATTTTTTAATTTTGGATTCGATATTGATTCATGTCTCACTGTTTGTATTAGGATTGTTTATACACATATGATAGGCTGAATCGGGGTTGCGGTCTAATTTATAAAAAGCGAGAAATATGAATCTTTATTATACACTCACGCGCACTTAATCATGCAATCATGCATGCAGTAATCGTTAAGAGGGTCACGTGCCGATCCAATATTTTACGATATTGATATTGGACAGTTGCGAATCGTGGATTTTTTTCATGCTTTTTCAACCATTTTCAGATGTTTTGTCAATTTCAAACATACGACAAGCCATATGGCAGAGTGATGAAAAGAATTTGGGACATTAATACCCGAGTTTTTTCTACCAGTTTAATTAGTGTATAAAAGCGCGGGAAAACTTGTCTTCCGAAATTTATTTGTTTGCAACGGCCTCGTAGTTAGTAATATTATTTTTTCCGTTAAAATTAGGTCAAATTTCCTTTAAACATGTATGGAATTGAGTTTATTTATGCACAAATATTTGTAAAAACAAGTTTATTAACTTTTCGTTTGTTACTTAAGCAAATTCGCCGCCTATATAATATACTGTTAGTAATGTTGTCGCTGCATTATTCACGCTGCATGTGAAAAATACTTTATCGCTTATTGACAAATTTTTGTTATAGAATTGTTTTTTTTTTTCGATATAATAAAACTCTTATTGGATTCATCTTCGCCCAATATCGCAAAATATTAAGTCTCGACTTCAATATTAGGCTCGCGACCTTCGATCTCGCCCTAAGATATAATATAACCCAATAAGATATAATATAATCCGAAATTCTGGTTAAACGTGGACAAGAGCTTTCTTGTGTGTCGAAGGCTCCTCAGGAAGTGAACGACTATAAATATTAATATATGATGAAAACACAATCTTAGGAATTATTAATTTGTCAGCCTCTATAGTAACTGCCGTTTGACACCATCTACTGCATGAACATATAGTGCTTAGTGAAACCCACTTATATGAACAGCAAAGGCAGGGAGGGGAAAGGTATAGAGTTGATCGTCCCTTTATTTTACCAAAATATTTCTCAAAATGTGAACACAATATACCCTTAAAATGCAGGTAATTCCCTACAACAATGTTTACACAATTTTATAAATGATGTGCCATATGTTTTGCCCACCTTTCCCGGCGCCATTGCCTATATGGAAATTAAAATCTCAAAGCCATATCATCAATTGTCAACACAAAAAACCCCATGCAACTAGCATTTTTACATCTGTCTTCTGTTCATTAATTATAGGTGGTTCAGTTAAAGAAGAGGGATCTGGAAAAGGACTATATGATGAATATATAAAATATTACTGATATAGGAAAATATTTTGAGTGAGTGTTATTTTGAGGGATATATATATATATATATATATATATATATATATATATATATATATATATATATATATATATATATATATATATATATATATATATATATTAGAAAAGTGAATTAGAAATGTCGTCGTTGTTCCCCTTTCTTTTCAGTTTAGAACATCAATAGACAATTTGCAGAAATGCTGGAGTGTAGCATTACATACGCACACCCAACACTTCATTCCTTTGAAAACAGACACAAGACAACGCTATATGCGTGTAACACGCTACGCTTTATTAATTACGGTAATTATCTAGTAATGGTCTATATACTACTCTAGCATGAAACGTAGAACAAAAAAAGTCAAAACAAATCCGAAGTACTTCACATCTTAAACTTAAAATTAGAGTCAAAAGAAAGCATGTATAATAGTAATGTGAGTTTGTGCAATATCAGTGATATTTAGTTTGAAAAAGATTGTTTTCTTCAACAGCAGTGTGGCCAATAAGTTATAGCAAATATAGATGAGTAAATAGTGTGTTACAAAATCGACGATTAATAATTTTTAAGGTAGAGATTAGCCGTGAAAAGAGAAACTGAAAGTGATGAGTAGAAACCTCAAGACGTCATTAAACTATATAAATTTATAGAATGCCTCGTATATATAGATAAAATTACACTTTTCTCTAACAACAAAAGTCAGAGTTGATTAATTTTTACCCACTGTATAGGTCGCTACTGTATTGAGGTTTATCTCGTATATATAAAATAATACGAGAATGATATAACAATTGCATTCAAATTTATTATCATTTTGACATTTATAATACATAGTATAATTATATATTCTATATTCTTAATATTTAAATCAGTGCCGCTAAAAACAAGGAAAACAATTTACTTCCCAAATTTTGTTTGCTTTGTTTCCCGATTACGTGGGATGTCGTGTGATTAAATCGTGTGATTCATATTGCGTAGTATTTACCTCCAGTGCACGAGACAGCTGTCAGGCTAGATATGCTGACCGCATGTGCAGGTGTATCATTCACGTGCATGAGGCCACAATCATGCTCATCTATCACGGTCCAGTTATGTATGTACACATGAGGCTCGAATTAATGAATGAAGGACCGTAAAGAAGTGATATAATCTTGAATGGTCTGTGTCAATGTAGGAAGTGCCAATAATAACAAATTTTCGTTGGGAGGGATGCAACTACCTGAAAAATACAAAGCGAAATTCGAGGTTTCGAGCGATGGCCTAGCTTCGTCGAGAAGTTAGCTTCCCGGCAAAGGGCCTTAATTCGCTCAAAAAGTCGAATTTCGCTTTGTATTTTTCAGGTAGTTACATCCCTAACAACGAAAGCTTGTTATTATAGAAGTGTGTCTTGCAATTTAACTAGAAAAATTTAAAACTGCGGATACCCAGGGAGGTGCGTCAAAGTCAGTTTTACCTGAATTAGAATTTTAATAAGTTGTAAATTATGATAGGCTCTTCAATTTGTTGCCATACAAAATCAATCGATTCCGCGCATATAGGCATGTTTACCCAAAGAGAGTTTTGAAATATGGTCTCTAAAATGATGCCAGTTCCTGGCGTTCAGGGAACGATTTGAATCCTCGTCGTTTGAATCCTAATAATTACAACCCACATAAAACAACTTACTGTTTTTAAATCACGTGACAGCGAATCATGAATCAGACAATAATATAATATTATTTTTACCTATAATAACTTAAAATTTGCATTTCAGACAGTGAAGAAGAAGATCGACATTCTGATCTATTTTGGGGGTCATCGCTCGCCCCATGCACTTTTATTCTCTGTTCCGTCACCCTAGCACGTACGTGAGTTGTAAGGAAGATATATAGGGTATGGGGTATATAATGCGGGGTGACCGCCTCCAGAAAACGTTTATATTTTTGATGCTCGATGCATGCATGCATGGATCGCGCGGTCTTCTCACATCCACAAGGAAAACGACAAGCATATTTTAAGTGCACAAATGACAAGCATATTTTAAGTGTTTATATTCGCCCGTTCACTTGTTAGTAACTGCACAGTTATGATTTTAGAACTGCACAAATGGATCTAGAACTGGCTTTGACATTCTGGAGGTAAAGGGAGGGGTCGGTTGTTCGAAATCCGATCAGCTTAACATAAAATTTAAATCAAACTTCCCTACGCCTTGTTTATAAATTTCGAAATATTTCTTCA